AAATGAGGAAGAACCCAATAGAGGGATGCTTTTGGGAGACCTTGTCAAGAAGCTCCAATGGACTCTCACATGAACATTTGAAAATTGCCGTTCTGAGTTTTTTCTAGTTCCCTGTCTAGAATTTGTAATGCTAATTACTCTTGCCTTTACTTCTCCTTCACATGTCTCATTCATGATTCAAGGACTTTCTTCTTCCCTTAGAGACAAGAGTTATGCAATTTGGGAGTCTTTTAGATAGACCCACTGAAGAGGTACTCTAATTGCCTCACCCTGCATCCAAGTTCAGCGTAGAAGAAGCCAGAGCAGTCGGCAACCCTATTCCCTATCAGCAATTTGGGTAACCCCTTCAGAGGATGGTGTGGAAAGAATAGGAGGTAGGAACTGCCTAGGCAGTTAGGGTGTAGGGTGAAAAGACCCCAAAGAAATGTAGCCTGTTTCTTGGCTAAAAGTCAAAATTTCCTTGCGCCTGTTAGCAACATACTCTTTTCCAAAGGCCAAAAATGTCAAAAGTATTTGGGAGCTTGTATCTAATCCTTAAAAAATTTTAGGGTTACCTCTTCAGAGGGGGGAATGTTGGAGGGGAGGGAGTGGGCATGGATTTGATCAAAACACCTTATATACATGTATGAAATTCTCAATAAAGTTTAAAAAAAAAGAAAAAAAATTTGTAAAACTTAAACTATCAAATTGGAACATACCATATAAATAAAGGAGACAAGTCTTTTGACTAGAGAAGAAGAAAAAGAAGGAAAAAAAGCTCAATAAAAAGTTATGTATAAAAAAAATATTTATGTGTATGAGTGTATTGCCTGCACGTATGTAAGTGTACTGGTGTCCTGCAATGCCCTTGGAGATCAGAAGAGGGGGTTGGATTCCCTGGAAATGGAGTTATGGAGGGTTATTAGCTGCCATATGGGTGCTGGGAATCCAACTGGGTTCTTTGTGGGGGCAGCCAGTGCTCTTAGCCACTGAACCATCTCTCGAGCCCTCAAGTAATTTTTAAAGTACATCTAACGTTTAAAGTTTATTTTTATTTATTTACTTAATTTCTTTTGTGGTACCGGGTTTGAAAAAATTACTCTGGAGCCAGTGGCACACCTTTAATCCCAACACTTGGGAGGCAGAGGAGAGGCTGATCGCTGTGAGCTCTGAGGCCAGTCTCATTTACATAGTGAGTACCAGGCCAGCTGGGGCTACATACAGGGAGACCTTGTATCACACACACACACACACACACACACACACACACACAAGAAAAAGAAAAAGTCACTCTGCTGTTAATCCGATCCAGGCCCTGGCACATGCTCTCTGACTGTGCTTCATTTTCAGTCCGTTTTAAAAAGACTTTTAACACAGGGCTCACTAAGTTACCCAGGCTGGCCTCGAACTTTGAATCTTTGTGCTTCAGACTCCCAAGCAGCTGGGATTATGGGTGTCTGGCACCCTGCTTGGCTTACTTTCAGGTACTCCTGTGGGAATTTAGTTTCTACTACTAATTTTATCTGGTCTCAATCAAATAATGATTAAAGTGGCTAAAATTAAAATCATTTTTAAAAGTAAAACTATTGCTTTTACCTTTTACTTCCTGGATATTTGCAATTAAACATGCTAATGGTTGTTAATGACATCAATTGTTAAGCTGAAATGATGAAACATAAATATTTCTTGCAGGCATTGTTTTAAAAAAAAAGAAAGATAACACATATATGAACAAGAGGTTATGGTTATTTTCAGGAAATTGTGTTCCAAAGTAAATTATAAAAGGGTTTAAAAACCCTAAGTGTTGTAATATGAGTGACAGCCAGGCTATTAAGATCTAAAACCTATTAAAATCAATTGGTAAATCTCATAATCTTTTAATCCAATGTAATCTGTTCTCCACTAACATGAGAACTGAAATCCTATGCAAATTCTCATTATCAAAAAGCACATTTTAAAAACAATAATCACTGAAGAAAAGTACTTGGGTTAGAAGTTAGAGCCTAATTTAGTTATTTAAATTTAGTGATAAGATTTCTAGATTCTGCTATTTAAAAATCTTACGTTTCTAAGATCTATGGAATTTATAATTTTCATTGAAAAAGAATTTTTTTTCAAGAATATTTACTTCATGGGGGTAGGGGGCCAGACAGTAACTAGAAAACAGCTTGCTTTACACATTTTCAAAAATAAACTTTTATTTCTTCAGGTACTTTTCTAATCCAGCCACTTCTCCACTCCACAAATACCCTTTTGGGTTCCTATTACCAGGTTACATTAGGTTACATTATATTAAATTGTCCTATAACTCATGGGTGCCACTTAAGTTCTTTTTCTGTTGTTATGTCTTCAAATACACTAATCTGTTCTGCAACATTTAATCTACTATTAAATTCAGTGCAACTCTCATGTAAGATATCATAGTTTTCTTGTCAAGAAATTTCACTTATATCTTCCCTATTTCTAGTTAAGTTTTTGAGCATATGAAAACAATTATGACTGCTTTAATGTTCTGCCCTGCTAGTTCTCATTTCTGGTTCAACACTCACTGACAGGTTATGCTGTTCATTAGTTATCATGTTTTCCCAGACTTTCATATGACTAGTAATCTCTGCTTGAACTAAAAACAGTAACTTTTTGGCTAGGTGTTTTGGGGATTTTAGTCTTGAGCTTCTTCTGGAGTATGTTTAAGTTACTGTATAACAGTCTGATGTTTTTAAGTCCTGGGTCTTAGGTTTTTAAAGCAAGTGGCAAGCAGAGCCAGATGCAGAAGTGATGTTAGTCAGGGTCACCTGCCCAAGGAAATATCCGAGATAGTACTAAAACCACAGAGTAGAAACGTTTACATTCTTACTGAGTATGGCTAACAGTTGAAGGTCCTAAATATAGACAGTGAGATAAGTAAGTAAAAGTGCTACTCCAAGGACAGAGTTACAAAAATTGCAGCATGGCCAGCTGGCTGGTGGCATTCTTTAGAATTAGACGTTTAAACTTCATTTAGAAACAGGCCCTGCTTTGTTTGAGGCACCCTTGACTTCTAGACAGTGCATATTTTACATGGTGATTTGTGGTGTTCTCATTCAGCTAACTGTCAGGGTGATTCTCACAAAGAGAGGCACAACTTTTCAAGACAGCTATTCTCTGTAAATCAAGTATCTGGGGAGATTTGCTTTTTCATTTGACCCACAGATTCTTTATCATCATCCTATAGAAGAAAGTAGCTAGCTAATCTAGTTTCTGTTCAATCTGAAAGTTTTAATAACACCAGAGGAACCTCAGTGAACAGAAACACAGCCACAGAAGCAGGGGACAAAATAGGAGGTTACTACCAGGGAGCTAGGCCTGCTTATGATTCCTCTTCAAAAGGAACCAGGCTGTTTGTTCAACATACCAACTGCTGCCTAGAGTTTCTTGGGAAGAACTTCATGGACAGGTTTCTCACCCAGACTTAATATCCTCAGGTGATTAACTTTCTGAGGAAAAAAAAAAATATCTGAGTTTTCTGAGTAGCCAAATCTGATCTTTACATATTACTCTGACTTGGTTCTACCTTCCTTCCTGACTGCAGTTTTAGAAATTGTTTCCTTAGGTTGCCTTTCTTGGATTACTTGTCTAATTCTCTTTTATATTTAGGATCTACACCTCTTAGCCACAGTTAGTAAAGAGCTAAGCTTTTCTACTTTGTGGTCTCCATTGTACTGTCATGGGTGTTTCCTTGGGCAAGTGACCCTGACTATGCTGGAGGCTAAGGCAGGGGGACTACCAGTTTGAAGGTAATCTGGGCTCAATAATGAGACCCTGCCCTAAAAATACAACAGCCGCATATGCCTAACTAAGAAGAATACAAGGGCTAGGCCACATTAATTATAATAGAACTATGCTCATGTTACTAGAAGTAAAGTACCAAATACTTCCAATACTTCCTCAAAGCCTTCAGCCACAGTCTATCATGTCAGATTTCTCAAAAGTTACACTTGGTAAAAGTGTTTAAATCAAGGTAAGCTGAAATAGAAAAACATGAAGAAAAGTTTTCCAATTAATTTTTTAAAATCTGTTCAATTGTTCTAACTTTATGTTTACAGAAATGTAAAAAAGTTGTCAAAATAAGCTTTGAAGCTTCTGGTTTAAAAATGAATGAGTCAGTGAGATAGATGGTCAGTCGGGTAAAAGGTGCTGGTCACCAAGCCTGATAACTTGGGTTTAATCCCTGGAACACACATAAAGAAAGGAGAGTCAACTCCTACAAGTTTGTGCTCTGACCTCCACACACAAGTGTGTCCCCCCACCTGAAATATTAAAAAATTTAATTAGAAAGAAAATCACTGGTGTATTTAAAAGTCAAACTTACAACGTGGCAAACTTTTGTATTTAATATATCATTTTTCTCAGACGATAATAGATTTCATAGATGCAAGGTGCTTAAGAACAAATTAGCTCCCTCACTGATTTCTCAGTTTCTTGACTTTATATTGTATGTCTTTACTGTCCTTTTCCACTTACCTTCCTTACTTAAAAAAAGATTTCACTTTTAAAAATTTATTTTTTAAATATTTTATTTATTATTTTTATTTTATGTGTATGAGTATATTACCTGCGTGTATGTAAGTGCATCCATGTCGTGCAGTGCCCATGGAGATCAGAAGAAGGCACTGGAACCCCTGGAACTGGAGTTAGGGACAGTTGTTAGCTGCCATGTGGGTGCTGGGAATCAAACTTGGGTTCTTTGGAAAACTAGTATGTTCTCTTAACCACTGAGACATCTCTCCAGCATCACCTTCCTTTATCTGAAATGCCCTTAATTTCAAAGTTGTCACTACTTAAGACTTAACATTAGGTCTCTTTAATAGAAATAGAGAGACAATATTTTTCCACATATACAAAGTTAAGCACTCACTACAGGAAATTCTTTTAAATGGATATATCTCTTATATACAGGAAGAATGATTTCCAGGCAGCTAGATGTACAGTCTCTTTTTTTTCCACCCAAAATTCAAGGCATTTAAGTTGTGGTATAAACTTACGTATCTCTTCTACAACTTGTGGGTCACATTCTTTGTATTTTTCTACTTCTGCCTTAAGTTGTTCCCTCATGTGCTGAAACGAAGAAAGGTCTTTTGCAAGCATGGCTCGTTCTTCCTGAATGCAAAATATTTTTGTACAATTAGATCAAATGAAATCTCATATGCAGCAAGGTAATGCATTCCATAAACTTTTTCTTTAACATAGTATATTTATGCAATTAGCTCTTGGTAGCCATGGATCATATATCTGCAGATTCAACTATGCACAGATTAAAAATACTCAAAAAAAAAAAAAAAGCAACTCTCAGGGCTAGAGAAATGGCTCAGCAGTTAAGAGCACTCATTGCTCTTGCAGAGGACCCAGGTTTGATTCCCAGCACCCACATGGCGACTATGAACCACCCTTAACTCCAGTTCCAGGGCTCCCATAGCCTCTTCTGTCCTCTGTGGGCATTGCAAGACATGGGTGCATTTACCTATATGCAGGCAATACACATGTACACATAAAATAAAATAAAAATAATAAATATTATTACAGACAGTTTTTAGCTGCCATGTGGGTGCTGGGATTCGAACCCAGGTCTTCTGCAAGAACAGTCAGTGTTTTTAACTGCTGAGCCATCTCTCCAGCCCCACATATAGACATTTTTATGTTATTCTCTAAATAATATAACAATTATATAATACCACTTACATTGGAAGTTGTAAGTAATCTAGAGATTATTTAAAATATATGATTATGCAAGCTACATGAAAACACTATACCATTTTATATATACATGTTATATATACATATATCACATTTATATGCCAATACATACATATATACACATATTGTATATGTACATATGTATTTTATATTTTAATTTATTTGCTGTATATGTGGAGGTCAGAGGACATCATTCTGAGTTGGTTCTCTCCTCCTACCATGTGGGCCCCAGGGATCGAACTCAGGTTGTCAGATTTGGTGACAAGAACCTTCATTCACTGAACCATCCCACCAACCCAACTGTGCTTTTTTAAATAAATGACTTGAGCATCCAGATTTCAGTATCTTCAGAAGGCCCCGCCTTGCAGAAGTCCGAGAGGAAGTTACTGGGGCGTGGCCTGGCTTGCTTTGAAAGTCTGAAGAATACTTCCGCACTGCTGAGCAGTGCATGATCAGTGCGTGACCATCCTTAAGATACACCCTCAGAGGGGTAGGGGGGATATCCAGCCTTTATAAGCTCTGTAACACCTGCAATAAATGAGTCCCTGCTTGACTAGGCTCCCTGTTGCGCCTGAGTGTTCCTGGTACTGGGGATGGTGTGGGCTGGCGACTGGCGTACTTACTCATCCCCAATCATCACTGCGCGCTGGTTCGAACCCGCGGCAACTGGTGCCCAGCATGGCGCTCGAAGGAAGGTGAAAAGAAGAAAAGAAAGAAAGAAAGAAAAACGGATTGGGGCCAATCGGGAAGTTCGGGTAAGCAAGACCTGGAAAGATGGGTAACGCAACTTTTAAGTCTGAGGACTCAGCGCTTAAAGCACTGAGAGATATGCTTAAAAGCAGGGGATTGGATCTGTCAGATCCAGTAGCTCAAAAGGTTTGGGCAGAGGTGATTCATTTGGCTCCCTGGCTACTTGGGGCTGTTTTTACTGGGGATACATGGGAATCATGGGAAGGGTTTGAGGAAGAAGGCAGAAATGCAACAGAAGTGAGACCAAAAGCGGCCAAAGTAACAAGCGGCACCTCAGGTGTGCCCTGGCCAGCTTCAGAGCCTCCCAGGACCCATGGATGCCTTTTTCAGAAGGACAGGGCGGAGCGGAGCACACCGGGTCGGCGTGCTGCCCACCCAACCTGCCTTGAACTAACGCGTGCGTGAGTCAGGGGCCTGTGTGATCGGGGACAGCCTCCGGGCACATTTAAAAAAACAAAAAACAAAACAAAACAAAAAACCAAAAAACAAAAAAAAAAAAACACTGTTGGCTGTACACCGTGACCGGCTCTGGGACCGCTGGGAAGGCCCAGTTTGAGGAAGGTGGCTGGGGCGGGGGGCATCCTGTCCATTCCACCGGCGGCCAGGGATCCACCCCCCACCCTCTGGAGTGTTACAGCCCCAGTGGCAGCAGCGCTCACTGAATCCCAGGACTGAGGGAGCCCTTAGTAAAAGCCTACAATGTTTTCACTGATGGAGGCAGATTTGGAGCTGCAGTGGTAGTATGCCCAGGACCAAAAAGATATGTCCACACTTGTGATGGCTCAGCTCAATTCAAGGAATTCATGGCCATTGCTTTCTGTCAGTATTCAGATTCATACACTCCTTAAGGAGAGAGAGAAGCCCCTATTTTCTTACAGCATCTTAGGGGGTACCAGGGATTGCCTGGGCTTTTATCCCAAGGCAATGCAGAGGCGGACAAGATGGCTTATTGTGCACAGGTACCGCCTCTGCAACAGCCACGGGTGAGCCCCAGGGGACTCAGGCCGGGTTCCTTGTGGCAAATGGATGTCACACACTATACTCCTTTTGGAAAGCTTAAGTATATTTTCATGTCCATTGACACATTCTCACATGCCTGTTGGGCTACCGCTCATACAGGAGAGAAGTCTAAACATGCTCAGTCTCATTTTCTCCAGTGCTTTGCTACGTTGGGATTGCCCCAAAGAATTAAAACTGATAATGGACCATGTTTTGTGAGTAAAAATTTACAAGATTTCTTTTTACTTTGGGAAATTCAACACAGTACAGGAATTCCCTACAATCCCCAAGTTCAAGCCATTGTAGAATGCAACCATCAAAACCTAAAAATTCAATTACAAAAACAAAAAGGGGGAATAAGCCCCCACCAACAGTTGGGCATGGCCTTGTTCACTATTAATGTTCTTAATTTTCAAAAAAATCAGTTGGAATCCTGGTTTCAGAAACATTAGGGATGACAGGACCAGAGACCTGAGGTATAGGTAAGATGGAAGGACCCCATTACAGGACAATGGAGAGGCTCAGATCCATTGCTAACCATGGGTCAAGGCTTTGGCTGTGTCTACCCTACAGGAGATTCAAACCCCATATGGGTGCCTGCGAAAAACCTTTAGTGGGTAGGCCAGGATCCACTGACTAGCATGATGGTTCGTGGACAATAGTTTATGAGACAAAATTCCTCTCTTTATTTGTATCCATCTGAGGCGAAGGACCCAGTTCCTTGGCTTCATTGCCAGTCAGCCTCTACAACTAGATGATTGGCTAAAAGGTACATGGTCTCAGAAGTATTTCAACTTGTCCTACGCCATGACTTCCTTTGTTTCTCTTGATAATGCTTATCTTTAAGTGTCTTTACCAGATAATTTGGCGACAGAGGACCCTTGGAACTGCCACGGCCCACCTCCTCATGATTACGGACTCCCCCAGGAACATACCCCCTCTGGTTGCCCACACTTGGCTGAGTTAGGCAGAGACTAAGACCATCAAGGGCTGGCATTACCCACGTGGCTGCCCTTAATCATGACGTATCAGGGCTGCTAGAAGTGTTCTATATCAAACAGTACTTAATAGAATGTATGAAGGAATTAAATGGTACCCATTGAGATTGCAGATTGTCCCTACAAATAGTCAAATGGGAGGGAGTGTACTATGACATATATTGCCATTTAGGCAAAACAATTTATTTACTTGGAAGCACAACTATAATTATAGTTCCTTCAGTAAGGAACGGACAATTTGTATCTTGTGACAACTGGGGATAACATATTTTTCCACAGGTACTGTGGGGACCTAAAAGCTCCACCTTGCATAGGTCCGAAAGGAAGTTACTGGGGGCGCGGCCTGACTTGCTTTGAAAGTGTGAAGAATACTTTCACACTGCTGAGGAGTGCATGATCAGCGCGTGACCATCCTTAAGATACACCCTCAGGGGGGAGGGGGGATTTCCAGGTGCCTTTATAAGCTCTGTAATATCTACAATAAATGAGTCCCTGCTTGACTAGACTCCCCGTTGCATCTGAGTGTCCCCGGTACTGGGGGCGGCATGGGCTGGCAATCAGTATGCTTACTCATCCCCAATCATCACTGCATGGGGGTCGCTGGCTCGAACCCCCCAGCATGGAACCAATTCTCTGTGAATACTGAGGGATGACTGTACACACATCTATACACAGTCTAAGAACAAGAACAAATTTTTCTGTGACATCTCGAGCATCTTTCATATAAATGAGGATAAATATGGAGAATGGAATGCTTGTAAGCAGACCAAAAGTTCCTGGTTATGCATGGATGAACTTAAAGTTGATTATGTTATCATATATTACGAAATTAGGGAAAAGCTTATACTGCTTTGTGGGTTACTTCCAAGACTGTGTTTGTATATGTAAGTTCTAATTTATGACATCAATCATTGTACAATTATCCTTTAAAACGTGTTTGAAAACAGTGTTCTAGATAATTTTTCAACTTTAAAGGATAAGTAACATTTATAAATATTAAAGATTTCAGAAATGGCCTCCTGCCATTTTCCTTTAAAGGTAAATCAGAAGAAAGCTTTTAAATACAGTATGAGCCAATAAACACCATTTGAAATTTGTACTTGGAGCTATCATTAACAGAAATCATAGTACTATGGGTATATAAATAATATTTGTGAAATTTGAAAGATAAGTTCAAACAAAATCAGATGCTGGCAAAGATTATAAGTCTGAAGCAAAAATCAAAGTTCAAGTGGTCGAAGTGAGATTTGCCTAAGGCTCTTGCAACTTTGTACTTTTTGGTCTTTGCCTCTGACTGCTCCTCTGGTATGAAAGTGAAGAAAGGTCTTCCTGCGGTCCTCATAGAGGGGAATGAGTCTGGGCAGCATCACACTAGGAAGCAGTGCAGCTCAACATTACTGCCTTGCCAGGAATATCCTAGCTCAGCACACTCCTGTGGAGGGTCACAAGCCACATGTGGCTACTGAGTACATGAAATGTGGCTCGTGAGCCTGAGAAACTGATTTTAATGTAAACAGGTGAATATAGTTATTAAATGTCATATTAGCATAGCTCAGAAAAATTTAAGAATAACCAGGAGGTAATCAAATAGTCACTACTTGCCGTGGGCATCCAGGCTATACATATTTTCATAGGAACAAGAGGAGAAAAAGGAAATGAAGATAGGAGACTGAGAGGGGTGAACACCTGTGTGAGCACAGTGGCAATTCTCCAGGCCCTCTACGATGGTGCTTCTTCCTGTTCTAGTTCTGCCCCCAGGAAATGAAGATGGTAATAGTAGTGACCTCCTTGTATTGATGGCAGAATCCAAATAAAATGTTCTTAAGACTAGCACTACCTGATACAACATGTCTGTCGTTAGCTATTTCTTCAGCAGCCGCACCATGAACGATCCCTGCCAGATGGAGGGTAAGTACTTCTGAAAGTCCTGTTGGTAAGACCTTATTTTCTTCAGAGCCTTTCTGAATTACTATACTTTTCTGTTGGCTGAAGGCTTCACCCAGATTTGCTGGTGGGTTTTTCTCCCTATCTGTTCACTGAAAGTGCATCTGCCAATTCTTTTTCTTTTTTGTTTTGGTTTGCTATTTTTTATTGTTAGTTATTATTTACCTACATGGATTTACGGGGGCAGGATACAGAGTATAAGAGACAGGAAGGTGTTAGGTAGGCTAGCAGTGCAGAAGTGTATTTTTTCTATAGATGACTGAGAACTGAGATTTCCTTTAATAATGTATGCATATTCACTTTAGCTTATTTTTATGTTAAATCTGGGTCAAATGTATAAGGATTTTCTACTCAGCATTCTTTTTTTTAACTTTAAAAAAATTTATTGAGAATTTCATACATGCATATAAGATATTTTGACCAAATCCACGCCCACTCCCTCCCCTCCAAGTCCTCCTATATCTCCCCATTTTTTTCCTGAACAACTTCATGTACCCTTTTTTCTTTTTTTTTTTTTAAAATGGGGCTTTTTCTATTCTAACATTCCCCCTCTGAAGAGGTAATCCTAAAATCTTTTAGGGATTAGATTCTTAGGATTAGATAAGAGCTCCCAAATATTTTTGACATTTTTGGCCTTTGGAACAGAGTATGTTGCTAAGAGGCCCAAGGATATTTTGATTTTTAGCCAAGAAACAGGCTACTTTTCTTTGGGGTCTTTTTACCCTAACTGCCTAGTCAATTCCTACCTCCTATTCTTATCACACCATCCCCTGAAGAGTTTATTCAAACTGCCGATAGGGAATCAGGACGCAGACCACTGTGGCTTCTTCCATGCTGAACAGGGATGCAGGGTGAGGCAACTGGGGTACCCTTCAGTGGGTCTATCTAAAAAGACTCCCAAATTGCATAACTCTTAACTGTAGGGAGAAAAGAAAATCCTTGACTGGTGCCACCACGCAGAGGCAGGATCTAGGCACTCTCAGGTGGTCCCCTGAGTTCTCAGCCCCTATGCCAGAGGGAGGCCAGAACCGGTACTCTCTGGCGGTCTGCTGAGTTCAGCCTCTACTATGATGGAGGTAGGAGCAGGCATTCTCAGGTTGTCTGCTAAGGTCTCAGCCTTATCCTACCAAAGGGCAGAGGTCTGCTGCATCTGCCAGTTCTTGCCAGTGTTAATGAAAAAAGGGATCCAATAAAGAAACAGCAACTGCTACTGTGACTAAAGAAGAGGTTATAATAGCTTCAGGTGATGATGCCCTGAACTAACCTTCCTTAAATATTCTACAGAAATTACCTTTCAATTCCTGTCTGTGACTGTGCAGAAGGTATCTGAAGTAAGTTTGAAAGCACCAACTCACTGCAAACCTGGGATATAGTCCCTTGAAAAATGTAACAAGTTTTCAGATTGCCTTTTTTAAAAATAGTTTATTATGTTTGGTTAATTATTTATTATTTATTTTGTCTTATTGAGACAGGGTTTCCCTGTAGCCCCAGCTGTCCTGGAACTTGCTATGTAGACCAGGCTGGCCTTAAAATCACAGAGATCTGCCTGCCTCTGCCTCCCAAGTGCTGGGATTAAAGGCGTGCACTACCACGTCTGGCTAAATAGTTCTTTAAGTTTTTTCTTTTGATTTATTTTTATTTTTTATGTGTATGAATATTATGCCTGCATGTAAGTGCACCTGTGTCATTCAGTGTCTGTGGAGGACAGCCGAGGGCATCGGATTCTCTGGAACTGGAGTTGTGGAAAGTTGTTACCTACCATGTCGGTGCTGGGATTTGAACCTGGGTCTTCTGCAAGAACAGTGCTCTTAACAACCGAGTCATCTCTCTAGCCACTTTAAATAATTTTTTAAAAATTTTATGTGTGTATGTGTTTTGCCTGCATGTATGTATGTGCACCCTATGTATGGGTAGTGACTGAGGAGGCCAGAAGGGGGTGTGTCAGATCCCCTAGAAGTGGAATTACAGACACTTATGAGCCACTATGTGTGCTAGGAACTGAACCTAAGTCCTTTGCAAGAGCAGCAAGTGGTGTTTTGTTTTTGTTTTTGTTTTTTTTTAACCACCGATCCATTTCTCCAGCCCCTTAGGTTTCTTTCTTTCACAATCAAGTGACAGAAATAGAGGCTTAGGAGGAATGCTTAGTAGTTCATGTTATCTTCAATATGAAAATATATACATAGGATTTTATTTGGTTGTTTGCCTTCCTTTCTTTCCCTCTCTCCCTTCCTCCTTTCCTTTGTTTCTTTTTGGTGGTGTTTTGAGATTCTTGTGTACCCCAGACTGGACTCAAACTTCAGAATCTCCTGCTTCTAACTCCTAGGTGTTGGGACTGTAGGCATGCACCACCTGCCCGGGTTTATGCAGTGCTGCGGACTGAACCCAGGGCAATGATGCATGCAATGCTCTATCAACTGAGTTACATCTCCAGCCATTTGGTTTTTTTTTGTTGCTGTTGTTTTTAGCCAGGCTGGCCTGGAACTCACTATGAACCCAGGCCTTAGAGGTTCCTGACTGATGGGATTACAAGCCTGAGTTACCACAACGGACTTAAAAAGTTTGTATAGCTGGGCATGGTAGCACACGCCTTTAATCCCAGCACAGAGGCAGGTGGATCTCTGTGAGTTCAAGGCCAGCCTGGTCTACATAGTGAGTTCCAGGACAGCTGGGGCTACAGGGAGACCCTGTCTCAAAAAGACCAAAAGAAAAAAAAAAGTTTTTATAAGTCCATCTTAGGATAATGATGAAACTAGAAAGTGAAGTGATTTTAAAAAAACTTCTATATCAACACTTTAGCTCACACTGCACTTTGAAAAATGAAATGAGTTGGGCTAAGTAGGGTATAGCCTAGTACTAGGGTGCTTTACTAGTATGCACAAGGCCCTAGGTTCCATCTTCAGTAGTGAAAGAAAGGGAAGAGGGGAAACAGTAAGAGAGAGAGAAAGAGAGAGAGAGCGAGAGAGAGAGTGCAAGAGAGAGAAGAGAGGGAGAGAGAGAATAATTTAAATAATTTAAAAATGTTAAAAGGCCATGAGGATATTATGTTGATCATTTTCCATTTATGTGCCAAAGGTTTTTGAAAACTCTTAGAAAGTGTACATAAATATTTAATAGGGCTTTCTGCATACCGGATGTTCTTCTAAACGTTTTGCAAATATTAACTAGTTTAATCTACACAATGACCTAGTGAAATAGATTTTATTATTTCACAGTTTACAATAGAGAAAATTAAGACTTTCACTCAGGAAGACTGGCTCCAAGGTCTCTGCTTCTGTTCTATGCTAATACACACATACATTTGTATTATTAAAGGATGTGAGCTTACTGTCTCTTGCCGGCCAATCCTAGCTTTCTCAATGCTCTTCTGTAGGTTTGCATGCTTCTGGCTTCCCTCAGACAGCTAGAAAGAATCAAAACAGGTGAAATGGTTTGCTAAAACACTTGATTGGCATATACCAAGGGAAGACAAATTTAAATAGGTGTCTGATCAGATCTCTTTGTTTGTTTTTTAATTTTATGTGTATGAGTGTTTTGCCTGCATGTGTGTATATACACCTGTGCCATGCAATGCCCACAGAGGTCAGAAGAGGGCGTGAGATCCCCTGCAAATAAAGTTGTGTATAGTTGTTAGTGGCCATGTGGGTGCTGGGAATCAAACCTGGGTCCTCTGTAAGAGCAGTCAGCTCTTAACGATTGAGCCATCTCTCCAGCACCTGGTCAGATCTATGTTAGAAAAAAAAATATCAAAGACTATACAAAAAATTAGTTTAACTTGAAGAAAACTACAAATAGAGAATGAAAAAAATATAAATATATTTTCTTATTCCATTTAGAAATTGATTAATATATGGTCTACATTTTTATATAATCTTGAGCTGCTTTTCCATCTTTACCCCAAATAACCTCTACTTCAAATTACTTAGAAACTGAATCTGAAAATTCAAAATCTCTTTTTAAAAAAGTTCTCTATTCAAAAATGCATTCTTTTTTTTTTTTGACTAAAGTCTTTCCAGAATACCCTAGGCTCTTCTCGTAGACTTATAGTATTATGTCCTGTTTCAACAGCAGTCAGTGATGCATGTATCCCCAATGTATTCCCAAATACAGTAAGAGAAATTGCACATTTTACATATTAAATTCTCAAAGAAGAAAAAAAATCTATTATCTGTGGCTAATTTTAGGTATGTTTTATTGTCTTAAAAGTGACCAGTTCAATTATGTTATTCAGTTTGGAAAGAAGATGTGGAAATGACATAGACAAAAGACGTGAATATTCCCTTGTACACGATTTTAAAAGACGTTAATTTCGGGATACTACTTCCCCCTCTCAATTTTATTACTCTCACCTGGTCCATGAGTAAATAACCACAGGAAATTCCCAAAGCTAAGTTCTCCACTACATTTTTTTGTAAGATATTTCAGACTCGTTTGATTGGGTATGAGCCTTTATAAAATATATCCCATATCTCTGTATTTCTAGCATTAAAAACATTTAGAAAATGATTAATGACAGGAAGAATTTGATTTCTGTTGGCTGATAAGAAACTAACTTTTCACAATATAATCTAGTTATACAGAGAGGATGAATAATATTTAGATGCCATTTTGGCAAAAAAAATTCAAAAAAATCTTTCATTTTTCCCATATGCAAACAGGAAACAATGTAAATGTCTGTTTACTAGCTATCCAGGCATTGCTTCTCCAACACAGCACAAAGAAGATCTACGGGCTATGGCCAAACAGACATCATCACCAAACTGTGGTACCTCTTCACAGAAATTATCTTCCCAAATTAAAAAAAGTCTGCATGATTCTGAGCCCAAACAAGCTTTAAGGCTCTAAATTTAGCAACAAGATCTAGTTCTTTATAATAAAGGTTCCCATTTAGCTAATAATAAAAATAAAACAAAACTCCATGTTTAAATAGTTAATATTCCACCCTGATGAACCTATCTGAAACAATTTTAAAATATATATAACATTTGAGTTCTCCAAATAAAAAATATAAATACATGTAGTAGCAGAAGATTTTTCCATTAAACTGTTTAAAAACTAACCAGACACATGTTATCCTAAAATCAGTAATTATGTAAAATATGCCAATATTTATCTTAATTATACAAAATATTTCAGGTAATGTATGTCTATTTGTAATCATTTACAACTTAAAAGCATTTGAAAGAGAACTCAATTTTCTAATTCTAAAAATAATCTTATGTGCTCTTGCTTGATGAGCCTGTGTGATGATGTGAGAGCTTAACTTCTGCTGCTCCTGCTCCAGCCACCTCCAGCCACCATGCCTCCCCGCCATGATGGACTATAATTCCCCTGGAACTGTAAATTCAAATAAACTCTTCCTTTGATAAAATAATAATAATAATAATGATAATACTTTTATGTGTATATATTCTTAAAAATATATTTTAGTTTTATTTACATGTATGTGTGGGTGCCTCCAGACGCCAGAACAGGATGCTGAATTCCCTAGAGATGGAGTTACAGGTGATTATGAGTTGCCTGACAGAGGTGCTGGGAATCAAACTTGGGCCCTCAGGAAGAGCAGCAATTACTCTTAACTGCCAAGTCATTTCTCCAGCCTCTGATCTTAGGTATTTATTTAAATATTTTATTTATTATTTTTATTTTATGTGTATGCGCATGTCTACATGTAGGTAAGTGCATGTAGGTAAGTGCACCTGTGTCGTGCAGTGCCCGCAGAGGACAGAAGAGGCTGTCCCCTGGAACTGGAGTTACGGACAGATGTTAGCTGCCATGTGGGTGCTGGGATTTGAACCCGGGTCTTCTGCAAGAACAATCAGTGTTCTTCACTGCTGAGCCATCTCTCCAGCCCCGATCTTAGGTATTTTAAATGTGATTGCTACATTCATGACTTGTCATGTTAAGTCTCTTGGGAACATAGGGAGACACAATCCAAATGACAGTATCAGAGAAGCTTCTGCTGAAGGATGGCTGGCTTGTAGTTAATTCTTTTTTATTTTTTATTTTTTTATTTTTTAGATTTATTTAATAACCACATAATTAGTAGAAGCATTTCAATACAACAGCATTGACACAGTCAATAACAATTTCCAGAGTAAAGATGCATCTCTTTCAAAATTGGCTGTAAATTTTTAGGTTCACAGTGTTGAATTAATACAGTTATACATTACTGTACTCAGCATAAACCTTATAAGACATAAAATTGAATGAGGTTTTAACCTTTAAAGAAGATCTCCATTTCATTTTAAAATACAGTTTCATACAGAAAAACTCGTTTTTATTTTTTTAATTTTTTTTTGTCTTTTTGAAGCAGGGTCTCCCTGTAGCCCCAGCTGTCCTGGAACTCACTGTGTAGACCAGGCTGGCCTTGAACTCACAGATATCTGCCTCTGCCTCCCAAGTGCTGGGACTACAGGCATGCGCCACCACGCCCGGCTTGAAAAACTCATTTTTAATGCAACTAACACTTAGATGTTTGCACATACATCTCTAATCTCTATATATCTGATTGTTACTAGTCATGGTCAGTTATTTTCTGAGATCCTTGGCATCTGAGCATAAAGTCATCAGGTAAATTTCAATGGTAATGTTTTTCATATCTACTAATTAACATGAAGCAAATTTTTAATGCTTCTTCCTCAAATATAACTCATTTTTTTATTTATTGATTTCTTTTTGTGTATTTCACACAGAACATCCAAAACAATCATTCATCTTAATACCCACATGCCAAATGGCACCCTCCCATTGCCCCCACCGCCCCCACTGGAGTCCATGTACTCTGTCATCCCTGTTACTGTCCACTGTGCTGCCGGCGCCCCCAGCCATTCCTGGGTGCTAATCCATCTGCTGAGTCTAGTCAGTCTATCTAGAGTTCCTTGTTTTAGGAAGATCAGCTGCCAACATTCCTTTAGATAAGATTGGGGTCTGCTGTTCATTTTCCCAGTTCTATGCTGGGTTACTGTTTGGGAGTCGACAACTCAAAGGAAGGTATTTCCTATCTGGCATTGTTTCTTGTTATGTAGCCTTTAGCTAAACACATGGACTCCTAAAGAATTATACTGATCACTTTTTCAAAAGGTATTCACTACAGGATCCCTTTAAGGACCAAACTATTCTGGAATATGTCTATACTGTAAACCAGAATCAACCATAATCTGTACTAAGTCCATTCCCAAATTTCACTAAAGCTAGTAATCATTTTTGAAATCTAGTAGATCAGAACAAGGCAGTAGCTGCAATAACAAAAACTACCAATGATGAGAAAAAAATAGGACTTTCTGACTTCTGTTTGAGGATGTAACATATACTCCTGTCTTCCAGGCTACCTACTACAGACATGGGGTAGAGCAATATAATGCTCACATTTCTAGAAGGCTAATGTACTGCCTGGAAGCCCTGCCTATTCATAAAAGAAACAGATTGATTTAATCTGGCTGCACTGGAAATGATTTGCTCTTTTTTTAGAAAATAAATAAATAAATTCAAAAGCACTGGTGGAGAACACAGAGGTTTTCATAGATGGGGAAGAATGTCAAGGAACAGAGAATGAGAACAACCAGGATCAGTCCGCCTCTTTGTCAAATTCAAGAACTGGTGGCCAAGATGCTCAGCAGGTAAGGGAGCTTGCTGAGGCCTAATGACCTGACTATGATCTCTAAGACCCACAAGGTAGAAAGAGCCGACTCCTGCAAGTTGTCTTCTGACCTCCACATTTGTCCTATGGTGTGGAGGGTAGAGACATATACACAAACCAATGAATAAATCAATGTACCAACAAAATGTAGGTATTGTGTTGAGGCAAAATAGGTCCTATGTCTTTTATTTATGCTTTAGAATAATTTGCTTTACCTTTTGTATATTTAAGTTTTATAATAACTAGAGAACACTCTAAATATTGTGGTGGTTTGAATGATAATGTCCCCGGCAGGCTCCAAGTATCTGAATACTTGGTCCCCATTTGGTGGTGCTGTTTGGGAAGGGTCATGGAACCTTTAGAAGGTGTGGCCATGCTGGAAGAAGCATCTGTGCAGCAGGCTTTGAGTAAGCAGATAGACACATTCCATTTGCCAGCCTGTCTCTCTGCTTCCTGTGCCTGCTTAAAGAACTCAGCTTTCAACTTTCCATTCTGGCTGCCTTCTGCCATGCCTCCCCACCGTGTTGGACTCTTATCCCTCTGGAACTGGAACTGGAACTGTAAGCCCAATAAACTCTTTTTTCTATACACTGCCTTGGTCAAGGTGTTTTATCACAGCAACATAAAAATAATAAAACATCTATTTAGAAATAAAGATGGAAGCAATGTAACTGTCTCAATATTAGAGAAATGTTAAATCAATATTTCACAGTACAGATGTGTCATAATATACAGACAAAGGAAGTATGTTTAATAAAATTTTT